TATGGACACCAACATGTGATGTATATACGAAAATGGACGTCGAGATGGACATTGCCGATTAATACTTAAAGCGGGAGGGTCGTCACCTGCGCACGCGCGGGAATTGAGTCCCAAGCGGCGATAACAACACACGCTAAAAACGCAAAGGCTCATGATTAAGTTATAGTAGACTCATATGTTTTTGGTAGGGAGTGTGTTGTACATTAGTTTCCCTTTGACTACGTTACAACGCCCGCACTTTCTTTTTTATTTAGAGTCAGAGATCACAGCCTTTTTAAAAACAATTTTCAGACCACAGACATATTTGATCACTTATTCACCATCTTTACAGAACACATTATAAACTTAGGACTCATAATTCTAGAATTTATAACGAACTTACTTCCATTTACATTGTATGTGTGCTTCTCACATGCATCACTGTATTTATGGGTTTGAGTCGTGATGTTTACTTGCGTGGTATTTTATATATTTTTGCTTTGTAGTCGGACCAATACTAAAGTAATTGAAGGTGGTTATTTCATGACCAGTATACATCAATCTTGGTATAAACACAAATAGACACAACATATGCACATATGAATACTGCCCAATTTGGCAACAAAATGTATACACTCATAAAAACAAAAAGAGTGAAAATTTATAATAAATTACAACACACACGCACACACACACAATTATGAACACATACACAAACGTGTGTTTTATCTATTTTATTTCTAGAGCTGCACTATTTGCAACCTAAGACATATTACAAGTTGTGGTTGATTTTTCCCAGGCTTGTCCAATGGTGTTGACGTGATTTCTGTGGATAAAAAAAGCAAATAAGTTGTATTGAAATTTATCTCTGTACATATCTCATCAGTTACTTATATCTAAATGCACAGCCATGTATACAGTCATGTGTATTACATATTTTTGAGATATTTTCATATCTTCACGGTCATCAGTTAGACTTCAATAGTCACTAAAATATAGTTTTTAAATCTGTGTAAGAATGAGAAATGTTTGACAGTTTCTCACACGAACGGGATGGGTGTCATGTCTGCGCCGACTGAAAGTTATTCATAAGATTACAGTGTTCTCAATACTACGCTTTTGATCTTACGTCTGTGTATAAAAAATGTTCATCATATCATAATATATATATATATATATATTGCTTACATGAATCTACACAGCACACTTGGTCTCCCTCACAGCTTGTTTTGCACCATGGATCTATCGTCTGTTCCCCTGTGCAACTGTCCTGGCATTGTCCACCACAAATATCGCGACAGTTTCGTGCTAATACAAAGAAATGGAAGAAAGAAAGAAATGCCTAAACTCAGAATTAATAATAATAATGGTGTTGACGTGGTTTCTGGGAATGGAAATAAAACGAATTAGTTGTATTGCAATGTATCACCGTACATATTTCACCAATTATATTTAAATACACAATTGTTTATATTATATATTTAGAATCAAGTCATTTTTTTAACATTGGGTCTAAAAAATGAGATTGTGATTAATTGTATTGGCTCAGGTTTATGTATTTGTTGTGTACTTCACATGATATTCAGAATGAGATGTATATTTTTCTGATTTTCTTCAAACAGACCAATCAAGTCAATTTTTAATAATGAGTCTAAAAAAATAAGACATTCTTGTGTCCTCGTGATTCATTGTATCGACTCAGTTTTGTAACATACTTCAAAAAAGGTAATAAGTTGAGCTCAAATCACACAAAGTAATATCAGAAATAAACACTTGACCAGCAAAAATGAATATCAACTAGTACTATAAATGAATTAAAGCGATAACATGTACATCTCTAGTAACGAAGCGTCTAAATAGGTGACACGAATGCCGTTAAATGTGTTGATATTTATTATATGTAGTCGTCTATCTTTATGTTAATATGAGATTTAATTATTTTCCAGATACGGAATGGTTACTCAAGCAAACAAACAGAGTGGTCGATTTAAAAGACATTATCCAAATGCTGTAAATGCATTAATTATTCGCTGCTTTTTAATTTCGATATTTTCGTTGATAAGTAAAATTCGCAGAATTGTCGAATAATAAAATAACTCGGTGTTTCCCAGCCATGTTTGTGAACTTAGGAACCCAGTGAAATTGCTCAAAACATCAAAATAGTGAATTTTAATGTCAGTGAAAATAAATGGTTTAGTACGCCATTTTGACATCACGCGCCCTTTTCGTCGATAGAGGGCGCGATGTTTAAAAATGGAGTATATTACAGTAGTATTAAATATATATACATATCATTTGTAATTCTGAAGATCCCGCAACATTGTTTGGGAAATGTACATAACATGCACATAAGTTTGATGAGATGACACAATACTCCATATACGTCAGCATACATTGTTGATACCAAAGTTCCCAGGCAATCAGTGCCAAGAAGTTCAACCTGTCCATCAGGGTTATATAATAGTTTAAATCTGTATACATACAAAGTGCATAATATCACAACTACTTACATGCTGGTGTGCAGCACACCTGGTCTCCTTCGCAGCTTCTTTTGTGCGACATTTTTATGTAATAACATTGATCCCCCCCCCCCACAATCCAATGCGATTTTCTAATGGAAATCACGAGTACGTGTTTTAACCAAGGCGCAATGTACACTAATTATCGCCGGTGACTCCTTGATATCTTCCAATCGCCCAAGAAATTATATAGTTAAAGCTCAGCAACGTCTCAGTTTGTACTCATTGGTCTGCGCAACAGTCAAAGTGGCCATATCATGTCTCATATGAGATCCATATCTCGCGCATGTGTGGCGCGACGACCACCGCCATTTAATGTAGTAGTTTAATGTGTTAGTAATTTTGCAATTAACAATGTACATTTTCAAATCAACCTCGCTAACCAACTCCAAACTGTTCAAGTTGATTTAGTGTTTAGACATTTTAGTATTTGGAAATCACCGGGTTTGATATTTACGCTGGTGTACACACTCCCACTCACAAAAAATATGATTTACGAATTGTGAACATCTGGGCTACGTGTAAGCAAAATATATTTGGTTAAACAACAATGTTTAATTAGTGACATCCAACAAACATTTGCTTCATTACATAAGTGAAATCTGTTGGTGGTGTTTGCCCCTCGTATTTTAATTGAGATCGTAATGTAATCTATTGATTGAGTGTGGTTTTTGTTGATGAAAGTTATGATTTGTAAACCGAGGTTTCCTGTCAGTGACAATATTAGACCCGAGGGCAATGTTGACAATAATAATTGATTAAAGGGCGGCGGTCGTTGCGCAGCGCGTATTCGAATTTCATATTAACAAATAATGTATTTTACACGCATTGTGTTGCTACCGTATGAGCGACGAGCACCACCCTTTATGCAAATCATGTTTATGCATATTTACAATGTTATATCATAAACAAGTCATAAATATGATAAATACATGTGCATATTTAATTGACACAGTTGATTTTCATAACCCCAAAAAATCAAAATCAAGGTCCGAGCACATTTATCAACAAAATTATTGACAGAACCAAACAACATAGGATATGAAGAATGCTAATTGACGAAAATAAAATGTTTCTCAGATAGTATTCATATCTATCTTTGTAACTTTATGTTCTCTCCATCTAAATATCCCTGTAATGTAAAGGCGTGACACTAAACGACACCACATTCCAAATAGTTACTCCTTTTACTTACCATTTGTACAGCACACCAGATTTCCTGGACAAGTTCTTTTGCACCATGGTCTTTCTGTATGGCCCTCTTTGCTGCAGTCCTCACGGCATACACACACACTCTCACAGTCACTTGCAGCTACAGAAAAAAAATGTTTGATAGATACAATTTCTATGTCTACTGCGGAATCAACAGTAACACATATTCACATTGTCATGTGATAGCTGCAATTAAATTGTAAATGAGCAAACTATACAATACACACCTCCACATGATTGTAAATATTGTTATCGTACAGGTTGAAATTGACATGTGTACATACTTGAATAAAGATAACACGTGCACTGTCTTCTAGAAAATGTTTACACATTCTAAAGAATCTACACGCTGTACAACAACTGTTAATACATATATTGAAAGATTGGATATAATTATAAACAGTCACCATGGTCGTATACCATCCGTTACTACAAATGTGGAGGAAACTCTGTATCTGGTATGCTACGACAACTTATCTGGAAAACTCAAGTTTCAAGAACCCACGTAACATAGTAATACATGTTGGATCTAATGACCTGGACAGAACTACAGAGTCAAAGAAAGAAGCACTTCTCGACAACTACCATCAGAAATTTGTAAACCTGATTGACGTCACCCGTAAAA